CCCTGCTGTGGTCCTGCCCCCTCCCCCTGCTGTGGTCCTGCACACTTTAATCAGCCTGCTCATGTCTGCGGATTAACGTTACTGTTGGGTTGAGCCTCTTTAACCGGATGGACGTGCTAACCTTTCCAGAAGAGCCACATGCTTCAAGGAGGCTGAGAACCGCACGCACAGCCGAGGGAGTTGCTGACGGGACACCGGAAAGATTCTCCGTCAGGCAGTCGGTGATGGAAGGATTGCATGACAGAACCTGGAAGGCATTTCTCCTCGGTCTGACCTGTGCGCTGTCGGGATGTCTGTGCTGGTAAATTCGGTGGAGATGAAGAGCAATCACACTCCCTCTCGTCTCATCTTGACCCAGAACCTCAGGCAGCGTCAGCAGGTGCGTGTGAGCAGCTCTGATGTCCAGGAAGCTGATCTAGCCCCAGGAAGGACAACCGCACCGGCAGGATTGACTCGCTCTGTTGTTCTTCCCAGTCCAAGGCATCACTGCCGGCTTGGAACCAACTCCCAGCCGCTCTCCAACGGGCTTCCAATGCTCTGAGTGTTACAGGAGGTTGCCCGTCTCTCTCCACGGAGCTGCTGTGGGTGGAATGGCCGGGGAGGCTTGGCCTTTGAATCAGTATTGCAGACAGCAATGGACTGCACTGACGCAGCACCAGGCTGGTTCAGGTCATCCCATCCTCTAACAGGACAAACCCTGCCTGAGCCAGCGCCATCTCATCCTGGTCACTGTCAGTCCGACTCCTTGAAGTTCTTCTTCTCTTTGCTGACGCTGTATGCTTGGAATAGTCTGGTACTGATGGATAATTCTTACCTAAATTATACCAAGCCATTTTTACAGAAAGGGCAGCGGGTCAGCGAAAAAGAGGAAGCCCTTAGACAAGATGGGCTGACCAGTACCCGCAACAATGGGCTTGAGTGTGGTGGAGGTCAAGGTGCCCGTGCAGGGTGACAGGGCAGGGCAACGGGGCAGGAGGGCAGTGCAGGACGACAGGGGAGGATGGGGCAGGACGACAGGGGAGGACGGGGCAGGGGTCAGATCTGTTGCTCAGAGTTGCCAGGAGGTGGAGTCCACGTGGTGGCGTTTGGTGACATCGTGACAGTGATTGACGACCTCAGCCTATTGCTCTACCCATTGCATCAGGCACTGCTGCTCCGCCTGTTGCTGCAACCACCGTGCTACACCCCATCTCACTGAGGGTCTTGTGTTGTTGACCCTCTGCCAAGACTAAGGTCCTTTTCCGGGGCCTCATCTTCCCTGTAACAAGTCCAAAGCACAAAGTCTCGCAGTCCTTGCCTCCAAGGGACACGCCGGTGGCACTTCTTCTGAGGCAGATTCATTCGTCTGGATGCACATAATGTATTCAATAGCCTTCACCAACACCACCGTTTAAAGGTTTCGTTTCTTCCATATAAATATTGAATTTACTCAACAATTTTATTTAAAATTTTACCTTGTTGTTGTGTACTGTCAAGTCAGAACTGATCCGTAGCTGACCCTCCAGTGGGTTTTCAGAAGCAGTTAATCACACAGGAGGAGATTGTCCACTCTATCCCACGGAGCACATGGTGGATTTGAACTGCGTGCCATCAGGATTGCAGTGCAGCTTCTTACCACTTAGCCAGCAGAGCTCCCTTCACCTTACCTTTGTATATTTCCTGTTGTTACCGGGCGCCATCGAGTGTGGTTCATGTGACCCAGTGAACCACAGACCTGAACCCCGTCCTGTCCTGCGCCGTCCTTACGACCTCCGACGCACTGGAGCCCATTTGCCCAGTCACTGTGTCTGTCCATCTGATTAAGGTTCCTCCTCTCCCTCGTCATCCCTCCAAATCTCTCCTCAGAGCCAAGTCCGCGATGGACGTCATGTAGCTCAGTGAAATCTAACACCCTGGGAGCCTCCCCTCTGGGCCACCGAAAATCTGCCGTGGTGGTGGTGCCTTTACATTTTTCTTTGGCTTTAACCTTTTCTTTAACCTTCTTATCAAATTCTACCATCAGCCTGCACAATAACTGCGTCCATTGGAGGAGAAACCCCAGACCCCGCCTTCACTCGAGCCCCGATCATCTCCTGTATGCGGCCTCTCTCTGTGCCTGTTAAGGTTTTCAGGTGACACTGAGTCATCTCTGACTTGTGGGGACTCCTTGTACGACAGAACAGAACCACGGCTGCTCTGGTGCTGCCCTCCGCACCCCTGGTGCACCTAAGCCCACTGCTGCAGCCACAGCGCCACTCCATCGTGCAGAGTCTTCCTCTCTCACACGACGTCCTTCTCCAGGAAACGGTCCTTCTTCACAAACTGAGCCAAGTGTGTGAGAGGAAGTGCCACCATCCTCACACCCAGGAACATTCTGGCTGCCCTTCTACCAGGACAAACGTGTTCTTTTCAGTGCAAGGTCCAGACACCATTTTCACTGGCCTGACTTCTTCAGTCTTTCTATTCATTGCCTGATTTCACTTGCACGTGAAGTGATACATCTGCCTACTCTAGGGAGGTCTGTCTCCAGGGACATCAGCTGGGTGCTGAGGGCCTGCCTGACACTGGACACAGACTGATCAAGGTCCCCAAGGCCTGACAGCCCAGGTCTGGTGGCTAAGAGAGTGCTATGCAGGAGCAGCAGGACCTTGTCCTGAGGTGCAGTGGTCAGCTGATGGGAACCACCATCTAACCCCAGAAACCGTGAGGGCAAGTTTTCGATCGGTTCTCCCTCAAGGACAATCGCTGCTGTGTTTACATGGACCACCGAGGACAGGAGAACGGAGAGGACGTTGGCTGTGTTTACATGGACCACTGAGGATAGAAGAACAGACAGGACGTTGATTCTGGTTACAGGGTTGGGGGATGGGAGGACAGGTGAGGCTGTGGAGAAGCAGTGACTTTTGTTTCTGTGTGAAAACCTCCAGACAGTGTTTGGCTGACACTGGCACAGCCTGGTGGCCATAACCTCTCTGGACTGGGCACCTAAAGATAGCTACAGCAGCAAGCTTTTGTTACAGACATGAACCACTGCTGTCAGGTCAGATCTGAGGGCAGTGACCTGAGGTCAGAGCAGGACCACTCGAGGGGACTCCAAGGTGGACGTCTTCACCTGGCCACGAGTTCCCTGAGCCCGGAACCTCTGAGGCACAGGTGTTCTCTGTGTGTACACCTGTCACCACAAGGATGCTGCTTTCATCCTCGGCTCTGTAACGTGCATGTTCTGTGCTTCCACACAGGGCGGCCAGCACGCTGTCGCAGGAACAGAGGACTAGCATGGGAGCTGTGGCAGCGGGGTGCACTTTCAGACACCAGGAGCTGTGAGGCATGCTTGCTGGGAGCCCAGCTCCCCAGGTGCTGATGGGGGACCGAGTACCCGAGGACCGAGACCTGGGGTCAAAGCATCAGTGGGTGGAATCATTACTGGGGTTTTGATGCGGCCTAGAGACACCTGAACTGAGAGGCTGGGGGCCACCTTCCGAGAGGACACAGCTTCTACACCCCCCCAGCGCACAGCTCTACCCTGACAAATTATAAGACACTACCAGACGTGGCCACCATGAGCTGGGGCTCCAGCTGCAGCTTGCTGGATCGGAGCTGTGCTCAGGCTGGCAGGGGTCTGTCCACAGGCGAGGAGGGTATGAGAGGGACGTGTACACAGAGGTGTCCTCACTGAGGGTGAGTGGGAGCCCCTGGAGGAGTGAGGGGGGGAGAAGACGGACGAGCAGAGCTCCTCGGTGACAGGAGGACTCAGAAGCGAGAGTGTGGAGCACTGACCCGAGAGGGGTCAGCAGAGTGAGAGGGACACATGCGGAAAGGCCAGGCTGGTGCCAGGGGATGGTCCACCGTCCACAGGGCTGTGAAGAGGACAGGGTGAGAGGGCATGGTGACTTCATCAATGTGGGCTTCAGTCATATGGATGGACACAGAGCAAACAGGCTCTCGTCCAATTCTCTGAAATAGCCTTGATGACATTATTTTTACTACTGGATTTAACTAACAAGGATTTCTCCTCTCCTGGTCTGGGGGCTGGGAGTTCAGGACAGGGTGTGGACTGCAGAGGAGGCCCCTCCACAGGCAGTGGTCTGAGCATCCCTTGGCTGGTGGAGGGTCTTCACAGGGCTTCTATCTGCATCTGCTCTGCCCTTTTTATAAGACACCACCCAGAGGCGGAGGGTCAGGTCTGCGAGCAGCCCACAGACCAGTGACGTCACCCTGGAGGACCTTTCCCAGGGAGGCACCCTGTGCGTGCCAACTGGTGCACACCTGCCAGTTAGCCACACACGGCCCCTGGGTTTGCAACTGCTGGTGTTTCGGACGTGGTCACCAAGCCTTTAATCTGAGGTGCTGCTGTGAATCCAGCTTCCAACAACAGCCGAGTGTGTCCATAACTCACACCACTTATGGTCCATGAGGTGATCTCCCTGCACCTGGCAGACGAGGATTTACAAGTATTTGTTCACAAGGTAAGTCTGTAATATAATTGCATTTATTTAGAAAGACATGGTCTATACATTTCAAGAGTCAAAAATGTCAGCCCAGTCCATCCTTCGTACGCTGACTGAGAAAAGGAAAGCTAACCAGCTCACCGGCTTCCACAAACACCCTCTTCTTCTCCTACAGAACCATGGAGTGACCTGGCCGTGTTTTAAGCAGTATTTCACTTCTAAAAATTAAAAACCACAGTAACAATAACAAAATCAAGCACAGTGGTTGGTTCTAAGCACGTCTTGACTGGCGGGCTGTACCCCAGGCACCCTCTTCCTGTAGAAGCATCTGAAAGAAAACTAGCAGACGCCCAGGTGCACACACACCTCTCACGTCTGAGGACAAAGCAGTGAAGGGGAAGTGCATGAGAATCACACAAAATCACAAGGACAATGAACTTACTTAGGGTCTCGAGAACAGGAAATACTGCAGAAAATCGCCCACAAGAGCCACTTGCCTGGCTAATGTTCACATCTGCATTGCCAATCTTCACCTAAGTCCGTGCACAGAAGCCAGTGGCCCTTATAGCTTCGTTTGTGTCTTGTCTCGCGGTGGCTCCTTTGTCTGCACCCCTCCGTCCTGTGACGGGCTTCTCTGCAGCTCTTCATCCTGTGATTGGTCTGCTGGCTGGGTGTCCAGCGGCCGCGGGGTCCTGGCCTCCAGGTACTCCACAGTGCCATAAGCCACCATGGCCGCCAGCAGGACGCCCAGCAGGATGTAGAGTTTAATGTAGACGCACAGATACGTGCTGTATCCGAAGGCTATGACGAAGCCCAAGGCCTCCCCGAGGCGGTAGTTGGCAAACGCAGCCTCCTTGTTCTTCTCGAACAACGTGCCATAGAGAGCTGTGGGAGGAGAGCAGAGAGGTTGGGACCAAGCCCCAGACGTGGCTGAAGCAGCTGCCCGGCCTGGCCTGTTCTCATTCCTAACCTGGATCTTTCATAACACGTGTCCCTCGTGATGTGCACCTAGCATTACCTGTCATTTCGAGTCCCCGTTGAATCTTTCCTGTTCCTTCACTCTGCCATCCCAGTGACTTCCACCTGCCCCTTTTCCCGCACTCCTCCCCCTTTCCCTTTACACTTCTGGACATTTATACACATCTCACTAGCCTTCAACTTTTACAAGTGTGATCTTATGCAGTATTTGTCCTTATGAGACTGAGTTAATTCACTTAGCGTAGTGTTCTCTCGTCTCTCTCAATTTATGTCGTATTTTTCTAAGTCATTGCTCTTGAGTGCAGCGTAATATTCCATCTGTGAATGAATCACAATTTCTCAATCTATTCCTTTGTTGATGGCTATTGAGCTGATTCCACTTTCTTGCTATTGTCAATGACACTGCTGTGAACATAAGTCCACAAATAGCTGGGTCACATGAGATTTCTACGTTCAGCTTTTTGAGGAAATGCCAAACTGCCTTCCAGAGTGGTTGTACTCTTGTATAATCCCACCAGCAGTGTCTGAGAGTCCCACTCTCTCCACATCCTCCCCAACATGTATTGCTTGCTTTCCTGTTAAGCTTTGCTACCAGAGTGAGTTAATTATGTAAGATACAATGTATATGAATAAGTGTATGAAACACAGTGTAAATGAAAGGTTATATAAAGCACAATGAACATGAATAAAACTAAATGTAAATAAATTATTGTATGCAAATCAATAAAAAAAGGGAAGACTCAAATGAAAAAAGAAACAACAAACCCACAGAATACACGTATCTCATGTGTGCAGGCCTGTACTCTCCTGGAAAAGGTGTGACATGTCCAATAAGCCCAGAGCTGAGCTGAGACCGAGGAGGCCTGCCAGTGCTGTGGTGCAGTGGTCTAACCAGCAGGCCTGAGGTTTAAATTCACCAGCTGCTCCTCTGGAGAAAGGGGAGGCAGTCAGCTAGTGAAGATCTGCCTCCTCAGAGACCCCATGGGGCAGCTCCTCTGACCTGGGAATCCCTGTCTGTCAGCCCTCACTCCTGCATGGTGGGCCTGGTTCTTAAGGTGAGGTTAGGGTGTGGAGGCATCTACCCTAAGCCCCTTATTGTGCAGATGGGAAACCAAAGCTCAGAGATGGACTTTGTGGAAGGAGCCAGGCTGCTCGCTGACAGAAGATGTACAGAAGTCTCCACTCTCTGGAGACAAACGTCTGCACTCCAGAAGGCTGCCATCTAGCTGGGAGCTGGGGACTCAGCCCCGGGGCTCAGAGGGTCAGTGAAGTGACCGCTGAGTGGGATTTTCATTCCCATCCTGTGTCCTTTAAGAGAGAAAGCAGGTCGTGAATTGGATTCTGTGCCCTGAGAAATTCTGCGGGAATTTTCTAGTGGCTGTGAGGAGAAAGGCACCTGACAACAGCTAACAAAGCTCTACGTGTGTGAACTGACGGCAGGATGCTATTCAGAAACCAGGCAGTCGCACGGGTGTCAGGTGGGCCCAAGTCAACCACTTTTCACAAAATCTGGTTGAAGAGTGGGAGAGACACAGGGAGTCCAGGGAGACCTGTGACTGCAGAGGCAGGAGGGCCTGCCAGCCCAGGGACCATGGGGTCATGGCCACGGCCTCCTCCTCCATGAGACCTTCCCTTCCTCGGCTGCCCCCATCTCTCCCAACATGGCCACAGCGAGAGCCCTGCTGCCATTACCACCAGCCTTCACTTAGAAAGAATCACATTTGGGCTTCTGCACAGATCACCCAGCAGGCACTCCAGTGACCTCCACTGCACCTGCAGCCTAGCCCACCGTCCAGCCTTGTCACAGGACCCAGAGGCACAAGGCAGCGTCACACTCGGGTTAGATCACACACGTGAGAAGAGTCCTCGTCCCTCCCACCTCCACTGCACCTGCAGTCTGGCCCACGGTCCCTCCCTTCTCACAGGGATTCACCCTGAGCACCCCAAGCATGAGGACAGGTTCCTGCCCCCCAGGGGGTTGCAGCCACACAGGTGACACTATGAGGGGAGTGACACCCAATTACCATGGAGGAGACACGCAGTGTTTCAGCAGAAATGCTCAAGCTCTATAAAAGTTGCCCTGTATGTAGTTACAACAACTAGAGGGAGCCAGCTGCTCACTGTCAGAGAAAGACATCATGGAGGAGTGATAAGGCAGATGGGAGTGGGCCTGAAGGCCTGAGTCTAGTGGCAGTCCACTGCAATATGTGTTTAGACAGAGAATGTGCAGGGGCCTGTGAACAGCGGACGGGCACACATCGGCTCAGAGGACTAGGAGCTACATCAGCCCAGCAGAACAAGCACACTGCTGCCTAGTCCTTGGTTTCCAACCTCATTCCCCAGAGGAAACGGGGAAATCCATGGGATATTATGGAAGGCCTACACTATGGTATCATGAGGCCGGCAAACACAGCCAGAAGTGCACAACCAAGAGAGGTTACCATTGATGATGGGACCTTCTAAAGATTAAGTCTCAAATCAAAATCTCAAAACTTAAGTCTCAAAAACTTTTTCCATGGGGACACAGAGCCACAAGCAGAGGAAAGACTCGAGACGCCCCTCCTGAAAGCAAACTGTGTAAGGTGGCAGCCCTGATCTCACAGCACTCAGACACGAAGGAAGACATAAAGCTTCAGGAGAAAAAGCAAAGGAAGTGAGACACTGCCACCCAGAGTGAGCCCTTTGGGGTGCTTGTGGGAGACGGGACTGAAACTTCCCTGGGGATACATTCTCCATCTGGGAATCCTTGCCTCTGTGGCTGTGGTGCCATTCCAGAGACCAAATAGGACAACAGAGTTTGGGATACAGAGAAACAAGCAGGGGAAAAACTTCCTCAGCTTTCTCATCTGGAACGTTGAGCTGCAAAAAAGAGAGCGGACTTGAAACCACCCCCCCCCCACCCCAGACAGAAACTGCTTGCATTTAGCACCTGGTCTCTACCACTCAGCAACTCCATAGATGAAGGAGAACAGTAGAGTTTGGGACAGGGGAGACATTAAGGTGAGATTCCTGGAAGGCCTGACCAGAGACAAGCTGAAGGACTTTAGGAAAGGCAAAATTTCCCAGAAAGTACTTTCTGTAGAGTGAGTGGCTCACCTCATAGATGGAGCATTTAAACCTGGCAACTAATCAATAACATCATAAAGATAAGAATTACCAACAACTTATGTAGACACAGTAGAAACAGACTAACATTTATCAAGAAAAACCTTCATATAATGTTGAGAAAGCAGCAGGAAGCTTAAAACACTGTGAAAAATAAATTAGGCCTTCTCAAAAAAAAAAAAAAAGCAGAGAATACTGCAGACCCAGTGAATAACCCAGAATCAAGAAGACAGATGATATATGGTGACATGGATACATTCAAGCACCTACTAGCGAAAGTACAAATGATGTCACAATGACAGTCACAAACAAAGGATCCTAGAGGAAAAGAACCAGAACAAATATATTGATAAGGAGTTATTTGAACAGCTACAGATGATGGATGAAACAATGGAAACCACTAAGAAAGCAAACACTCCAGAGACACAGATAATAAGGAGGAACTTGGACAAGAAAGTTTTAGGGAAGAAAATGCAAACGATGGAAGAGAGAATTGAAATGACAGATAAAGAGGTATAAGAACTTGAAAAAATATCATCACAAGATAGAGTATAGCCAATACAATACTGGAAATAACAGATATATGAAAATGCAATCCAGAATATTAAGATCAAGATGGCAGAAATGTCCAACACACTGGAAGGACAAAAGAGTAGAACAGAAGAGATGGCAAAGAGAGTTATTGAGCTGGAAGATAAGAACTCTAACAGAAACATACTAAAAGTCAGAGACAAGACATAAAGAAAATGAAGAATGCATTAGAATCATACGGGATGACATCAAAAGGAACAACATACATATGATTGGAATTCCAGAATACAAGAGGGACAAGGAAATCACTGATAAAATTGTGCAAGAAGTATGAAGAATATTCCCCAGGTATTATGAAGAACAAGGAAATCC